AAGACATTATTCCCTGATTTTTATCGAGAGTTTTCTTAGGTGACTTCGGTCATTTGCGATGTAATTAACTATAGGGGCTTGCCCTTATAGGGAGCTTTTCCGAACCCAGCTTAAAATAAACCCTATTTAATTCTTTGTATTAAATAGGGGAACTTGTCGGCAAATAAAATGGTTTCGCAGACCCAAACGGATGTCATATCTTTCTTAGTTTATTTGATTGAGCCTCACCCTCAAGTCTTGTGTTTATCCCTCGGGATAGATACAGGATTTGAGGTAGAGCGCTCTTTCATTTAAACTGTGAAAAATATGAGGTCAGTTTGATTCCATATTTTTCTAAAATTATATATATATATATGTAAATTAAAAAAAAAAGTCCTTCCGAAGCGGGCGACGGGATTTCGATTCCGGCGACCGACAGCTTCTTACGGGCGACCCCCAAACGCAACTTCCCCCTTTTAAACGCCGACAGAACCTAGTATTTGAATATTCTATACGTTGGTTGAAGCACATGCGGGCATTGAAAATATGTGTAATTGATTTGTTTATGTTGACACCTTATAGCTTACATAGTGCAAAAGTATCTCAAGTAGTACTCATCTAAGTCTTAAAGGTGCACTCACATCGCATTTGACTTAGGAGATGCCACGAGATTTTTATAAATTTTGAAATCATTTGAAGCTTAAATTATTTGCAAAAATATTATGATTTTAGGCTTTAAAAAAAGACCGTCTTCAGTTCGCTAGCAGTTGTAATTGTTTAAGCTTTAATTTCAAATTTTTTAAAAAAATTCCATATTTGATTTATCCCATAAAAGTCTGTCTGAATAGCTCAATTACAAATTATTTTTAGATTTACGAGCTTAAATTTTAAAATTCATCTCCTAATATTTTTAGCCTTGAAAGTTTATATTTTAATAGCTCAGAACTTTGAAATTTTTAAAAACCGAATAGCTTAAATATTCTAAAGCCTAGGTCCCTATTATTTTAAATCCTAGAAGCCTAAAATTTTAAAAGCTCAAATTTAAATGTCATTTTAAAATTAAAATAAGTGGTGTTTTATTTTATTTTAAAAATCCAAAATTCTAAATATTCGTGTAAACCACTATTTGGGGACACGGAAGAGTAGCAACTTCCCTAACTGTCTTAAGAGACGGGATGATCAGTACCGTGAGATATTGTGGTCGGGGAGCAAAGATATAAATTTAACCTGCAATGTTAAAAGACTCGATGGCTCTTGAATGTATCTGCGCAAAAGGGTTAGATCACAGAATAGTTTTTCTTGAATGGTAGTTTGCTTTCCCTGAATGGTACTTAATTCTCACGGACAAGTACTCAGTTTCCCACGAATGGGCGTTTTAAAGTCCCAATTTTAAAAAGTTTTTCAAACGACTCCGTGTTTTTCTTCGAACGGTACTTAGTTTCCCCACGAACGGATACTCATGTTTCCTCGAATGGACATTCAAAAAATTGGCCCACATTGACCAAAAAGTATATCTTTCGTCCGCCAACGATGATGACGACAACAATGTGATAACATTACATGACAGATGTTTCTTCTTTCTTCTTTTTACAACAATACACAATAATAATAAAATAAAATAGAACGAAATTAAAACAAAATAAATAGTGAAATGGCTCTGGTAGATGCTCGGGTAGGGCAAGAATTTATCAGGTTGGGCTTAAATGAGGAGCGGCTTGGTGTGAAGAGAACGATAGGGATTTAACATAAGGAAGATAAAGCAGAGCGGGGAGAAGGTTCTCAAGATCGCACAGGAATAGGAGCTCGAACACGTAGGCTAGTGCAAAGGATCGCACAGGGAAGGATCGTGTGGGCTGAGGCATAGATCGATCATTAAGGGAGGTGTTGCAAGGAGGAGAACAGGGCAGGATCACGCGAAGGCTCTATTCGGTATAAACGGTGGATCAAACGAAACTGTGCAGGGAGGAGCGGGATCGCACGAAGTCTTCCGGTGTTTGGTTTGCGTGAACAGGAGAAGGCTTCAATCAATTAAAAGGGCTCACACGAGAGACAAAATTTATAAAGGGTATTGCAAAGCAAACGAAGAAGATTAGGGAGGCACCGCGCGAGGCGGTGTGACACTGCGCGAGGCGGTGCGGAAGAAGGCAGCATGTAAAGGCTTTACGGCGTTTATGTTTGAAACAGTGGAAAGGTGTTGAGGCTTCGTTGTTGAACAGGGAGGTTATAGAGTGCATTGCGACTTATAACAGGAGACTTTGCAAGATGAAGGAGGACGAAGTGGAGGAATAGTGCAAACTTGTGTGTATTGAAGAGCGGCAAGGCTTCCGTGGAGATGCGAATTGAATCGGAGACGCAGACAAGTTTGCGATCTTTTTGCTATGGCAGAGGGATTTCATGCGTTTCCGGTAAACATAATGAAAGGAGAACCACCGAGATAGTGTGAATGAAGGATTTCCAACCTTATCTTGCGGCTTTGACTTAGAACATAGGCACGAACGGTTATGCCATCGAGCGAGAGCAAGAGCGGAAGCAGACAAATATGTGAGGATTTAATATTAATGAATTTTAATTAACCTAATTAATAATTTTTCATAATTTGTTTTTTTTTAAACGTAAACAAATGCCTCTCAATAATATGGTGCACGCTTGATGTGGATCATGTTTGTTGCAAAACCGATTGACCTGTGAATCTCCAAAAATGTATTTGGATACCATGTTGAGGGCTTCACTTTTTGCATCTCCGGGAAATTTGCAAGCTTATAACATTATAGGCCAAATTCTAGTTGACATCGCCTCTAACTTGTTCTCACTTATTTGGCTCAGATATTGAACTTGAATTTTGCACTTTGCTTTTACTGTTTTGATGGGCTCGATGAAGAAATTAACCTGAATTGTCTCTGCGGACTTGTCAGATAAGTGAGCACGCCTTCAATCATAGCTTTATGCTTTGGCGAACTTGTTGAAGGATGTATGCCAGTAGCATAGCCTTCAGATTTTTATTGAGCCAGTGGCAAGAAATTGTCAGTTATATGCTTAATTATTTATCAGCTTGTTGATGATTGAATCACTTTAGTTCAACATCTAGAATTGAACGAACTATGGGATAGCTCCTTCAGCTCTGCTTTTTTTTTAAACGGGCCTGTTGAAGAAGAGAATGTTCTTTAGCTTGTGTTTTATGCTTGCTCAGGCTTTGGATGATGTTAGACTTTTTTCCTTTGCAAAAGACATCGAGCTCAGTTTGATGCTTTTTTGAACGGGGATCCCACCTTTACATACATGCCACCAAATTCATATACATTAACATATCTATCACCTATATTTTAATTTTAACATTTGTACCACCCAAATATTTCTTTTCACATCAAAAATACCACTTTTGAATTTTTAAAAAGCAAAATACTCATTTTCATGCACAGGCAAGGTGGCATGTATGTAAAAATTGAAATTTAGATATGTAAATACAAAAGAATTGAGTGGCATGCCTGTAATATTTTTTTTAAAGGCTTATGCTGTAATTGATAAAAGCATTTTTGACCGCTAGTTATGAATCATAATTTTGTGTTTCTGTTTGTGCAAAGGATGTTCGGGTACTTGCTGTCTTATGTTCGTTCCTGGCTTGTGTTGCATGTATGCGCGGGTTTTAAACACTTGTATAATGTGTATTTTTGCAGGTTGCCAGCGGCAGACTGAACAACACTGCGGGCAAGAAATAGATGAAATTAAGCGTGGAATTGAAACTGGTAATGTCGCACCTGACATGTCGCTCATCAAATTTTCTGATGAAGCCATTGATGCACAAAACCATTGCATTCGAATTGCCGATGAAAAAGTGGCTTTGGCGGCTCAGGCGTACGATATGGTATGTAAGATTGTTTTGACACCCTATTACAATGTGTTCTATTCTATCATAAGGGTACCTCGGACCCAATATTTTATTTTTGAGAAATTTACATGCGTACCCCATAATTCTTATGGGTTTACATGTCGAACACCTAAAGTTTGATATTTGCATTTACTACACCTTGGTACTATAAGCAAGCCTGTGCGTAAAAAAGAGGCATTTGACTTAAAAAGTTAGTAAAGGTGGTATATTAATGTGATCCTATAGATTTGAGTGTTATGAATGTAAATATTTAAGTTTTGGTGTTAGATATGTTATGTATGTAAATGCCTTTTTTCTTTTTTTATGGCATCATTTGGTAACCGTCAAAGTTCATTAATAATTTAGTCCTTCGTGAGCATCTTCTACTTTGCAAAGAATTTGGCTTATTATTAGAGACAGAAGTTAATTATTTTACGAAGTATTTGCTATCTTTGCAATTTTGATGGAAGTTAAAAATCGATGCAAAGAGGTCTCTTAATATGCCTTCCCTGATAAAAGCATCAGTCAAACTTCTTGTCCATCGTACTCTGTCATTACTTCATTATTATAACATTAAAAAACACAATAATTTATTTAACATTTCATGTTGAGATCCACAATTATTTGTTAGGTAGGTAGTTCATTTGCTTTTGTTTCTGCCTTATCTCCGCCATTTGAAAGAATTTTGGTTCATGTGCAAACATAGTACACAATTCTTATGTATTTACATATCTCACACCTAAACTTTCATATTTACACATATGGCACTCAAACATTTAATATCAAATCAAAACGTAGCACTATTATCACTTTTTAAAAAGGAAATACACATTTTCATGCTTAGTTTTAAAGTAGCATAGTGCTATGTATGTCAATATGTAAGTTTTGGTGTCAGATATGTAAATACATATGAGTTGTGTGCTATGTCGGTAAATTTCCCCGGAATTTTTTGTTCAAGTTTCTCTCTTCTGTATATATCATATGTTAATCTGGACTTCAGCTATATAACTCAGCTGAAATATCTGTAGGTTGACACCTATATCCAACAGCTTGATCAGTATATGAGAAAAATGGAAGAGCTTCGTCTAGGTGCATTGATGAAATTCTAAAGATTCTTTATTGATGAACACCATTTAAATTAATTTCTTTATTTTATATTGCTTATTATATATTTTTTACTGTCTCTATAATAGAAAGGGAACTCGCTGCCACTGCATCTCCTGGAGTTACTGCTGACACTTCCACAAAATCTGGAAAAGCTGGAGTAAGCGGCAGGGGTGGTCGAAAGAAGTATGCCGACTCATCCCATGCAATCATTGCCACTTGAGTTTATGTTTCTATTACGGGTGTAAACGTGTCGAGTCGAGCTCGAGTTACCCTTGGCTTGGGCTTGGGCTTGAGCTTGAGCTTGAGTAATTAATTGAGTTTGACCTTAATTTTGCGAGTTTGGACAGGCTCACAAGCCATCTTGTTTATTACGAAGAGAGAACATAATATTAATTCAGGCTATTATTATAATAAAATGACAATTAAAATGAACAATGAGTAGATAAATAATAAAAAATTACTTGATATAAAATATAAATTTTCAAACATTTTTAGGAACTCATACAGATAAAGTTTTCATTTTTAATATTATTTTTTTTTTAAATGAGTTGAGTCAGTGTTGGACTGAGCTTTTTGGCTTGTTAGCTCGTTGAACTCAGCTTTCGGCCACTTCTCAAGTTGAGCCTGAGTTGGCTCACGAGTTAGCTTGGCTGGTTACATCCTTAATTTCTATTTAATAGGATTAATCAGTTTTGCTCGATTTTCACGTCTTTTATGGGTTATGATAGGGCCCGACAAGTGGCGGTGGAGCTTCCGAACATAGACTTGGAATTACCGGTCGACCCAAATGAACCCACTTACTGCTTCTGCAAGCAAGTCAGCTATGGGGAGATGGTCGCCTGTGATAACCCTGATGTACATATTTCTCGTATCACTTTTCTATTTCTTTGTTGATCCTTCGCTTCACTTATGCTAATTACTTTGTTCGAACATTCTTCAGTGCAAGATCGAATGGTTCCATTATGGGTGCGTCGGTTTGAAAGAACAACCGAAAGGGAAATGGTATTGTCCTAATTGTGTCGGGCTGCCAAAGCGTCGGAAAGGTAAGTGAGAATTGGCTGTGTAGTGGATGCCCTTAAAAGGAGCTTTAGATATGAGATCAGGTGCTTTGAATCCTTTAGTCATAAATCTGCTCTGTGCATGATCATTCTGTAAATCAAGATTAGTATAGAAGTTTCTGTATGATTGAGTTGTTTCTAAGTTTTTGCTGCAATTTATGAGGCAGTTACTGTTTTAAGCACTGAATGCTCCTCTCTACCTGAAGTTGGAAGATGGTTAGATCCAGTCAGTTCTTCAATAATCAAAATTGTAATCATCAATGGTTTTCCATTTTGTACAATGTTTTTTGCCTGATGACACTAATAATGTTATTTTCTTTTTGTTGCATTATGTGATTCCCTGCGAAACAATTCTGAAAAACTGTCAGCTTTTTGTCCATTGGACCTTTCGGTAGGAAGAGCTGAAGCTTCTGAAAATGGATCTGTTTTGTTTCTGTTGTTCTGTTGTCTTTTTATTTATTTCTCATTTTGTTTCTTTTGTGCTTAAACATGCAGATTGGTGTATGGTTTTTGCATCTTCTTAGCAGCAAGGATAAATATTTGCTGTGGCTTGTATTTTTGTCTTTGCATTTACATTTAATTTTTTCTATATATTAAAATTCAGTTAATTCTTTTCATATGATTATTGCTTGCTCAAAATTTTTAAATATAAAAAGTGAAGTTTAGGTTTTAGATATGCAAATCTGTAATTGGATTGTAGGTATGTAAATGCCCCCTTTTTTTAGTATAAAAAAATTTGTTTTTGCGCATATACTTCAAGAAAAGAATCTTTATATTTAGCCGGGCATTTACATAGCACATAATGCTTATGTATTTACATTTCACACATCTAAATTTTCATATTTACACACTAACACTAAAATCTTAAATAAAACATAAAAAATGGTACTATCATCATCTTTTAATAGTGAAAATATATTTTTTCGTGCACAAGTTTAAAGCATCAAAAATGCATCGACTCGAATTGTTTTTAATTATAGCCCTCAAAATTTTGATATTTTCAAAATTTTCACTCAGCCTTCAAAAATGGGGTAAAAGGTGATGGCTATAATGAAAATTTTAATTAGAATATTATATTTAAAATTGGGGTGGTTAAAGGCACCCAAAACGTTATATTATAAATTTCAAAGTCAAAACTCATAAATTTACATTTAAAGCATCTAAGAAGTTATATTTCCTAAAAAAGAACACTTCCCATTAAAATCATAAAGACTGCGGGCCTCTTGTCAGCAAAACGCCGTGATACAATCACATATAGGGCTAGCTTGGAAAGGCAAACAACATGATCGCATTGTACAAAGATCTAAAATTTTGGATCACAACGTGCAGACCTCTGGAGTTCACATCTTTCTCTTTAGGCTCCTACGTGAAGCAATTGAATATGGTAACTCGTCTTTCATCCTACATGGCATCGAAAGCGATATCTCTGAAGCTCCAATCTACTGGAATCCATCGAATAAGGTAGTTGTTGAATACAAAATTGTCGTACTTGAGATTGTTCACTTATATGCTACAAAGAGGGGTGCCCTCGGGCTTGAGCCTATTATTCCACGCGAGATAGGATTACAAGTGATGGAGAAGGAGAGCAAGTTAATCCAGAGCTCTGATTTCAGCAGACTTATAGCCAAACTGACCGGCTCGATGAGACGGACCTAATGATATGAAAATTAGTCAAATCTGAGTCAAATCATTGAACCACAATTAGAAGATTTCCGGACACATTTGAAAGGTTAAACGGTTGTCAAATATGACAAGTTTATACTCAAATCGAGCGGCTCGACGAGATGAATCCAATGAGTTCAGGATCACTCAATTCTGACATCATTGAAGCACTCAAACGTCCATTAAATGCTATATGATCGAGGAAAGCTCTCCGGACCGTCCGATCAAAATGGTTCATATTCTTGCATTAATTGCACACAGAGCACTATAAATAGACTCACACCCTTCACATGAGAGAAGACAAAAGCCTAGAGAGAGACCCTAAGGTTTTGAGGAGAAGCTGCAACTCCGTTGATCACCGTTGATCTCCGTCGGTGGCCGACGACCGCCGTTGACCTCTGTCGATCTCCCTCAACAACCACCAACCATCATCAACCATCGATCGTCGTTGACTACTTCAACCCCCGTCAATCCCTTCAGCCTCCGTCGATCACCATCAATCGTCGTCGACCACCGCAAAACCACCATCGTTAATCACTACCAACCACATGCCGTTAGTCGACACTGTAATCTGAAAAAAATAGTTACCCTTCCCGTCTGCGAGACAAGAGATTTTTGTAATCATCAACCTATAGTAAATTTTTATAACTGGGTCAGGTCTCGTGATTTTTTCCTTTTACGGGTTTTCCACATAAAAACTACTGGTGTCATCACATGTTCTTTCCTTTTTTATCTGAGTGTGTGTTGAATCCCCGTGCAACACTAAAACGATAATTCATTACTCTACCATCGCAAATTTTCAAACACACATCAATATCCCTGTGCCAAGCAAAGGAGTGGGGATAAATGGTCCTTTCTTATGCTTGGAATTTGCATTCCTAAAGTTTTCTCGTTGTTGAATTTGTCGACGTCGAGTGGTTGACCAATAGTGGTCGGGCCAAGGGTGTTCTCTGGCCAATCCATGGTGGTCGGTCAGTTGGGGTGGTTGGGTGTTAGTGGTTGGCTCATATGGGACAGCTGCTTGGTGATGGCAAACCCAATTGGTGGGTTTGCAGCTTGCAAGTGGCCAACCCATGTTGGTTGGCCGGCTGGTTGGATAAGAGTAACCACCTAGGGTGGTAGGCACTGATATTTCATGGCTCTTCCGACTGCAAGTCCTCTTGACGAGGGCCTATATTTAGGCTATACAGTAGCCCTTGTCTATCTCCCATTGCCCCCCATCGCGATCCTCAGTTGTTTCAAATCCCGTAATAAGACTTAACATATTTAGGATTTAAACTTGTTATTATTGTTGTTTGGTAGGTTTTAGATAGGATCAACTTAAACGAGATACTCCTTCCCTCCCTCCCCTCATACCATTGTATATGTGACACTTCTTTATTGGAGTACTGATGCATCAGTACTTCTGAGCTAATATTTTTTCCCTCATAGATGAGGACGAGACCAAGGGAACTGATGTTAATAATTTTAACGAGAAATATTATTTTTTGGGAGATATATATTTTAGGTCGTTTAAACGTAAATTGATAAGTTTGAATGTAAAATTTATAATATAAGAATGTTTGGGTGTAATGTTTGTAAAGTCCCCCTTTTTTTAATAACAGCAAAACTTCCTGCGATCGCCAATGCTATCACTCTTGTCCCCGAAACACTAGACGATGAAGAAGTGTGAAAGACACGACGGGATATCTCTGCCGACGTGTCCAACGGCTTGTGAACGTTGACGAAGCAGATGTGAGGTAGTCGCGGCGAACCCTCATTGGGAGCACCGGGAACTTGTTAGGAAGGGCATCGATGGATCAACGACATGCAAAATGGAGACGGGATCGGCAGCGTGTGAAGGCCGGCGTGAAAGTCAAAGAGTGATCGAAATATGCTTTTTGATTGTCACATTCATCGGAGTTACGGAACAGGGGATGCTAAATGATCGCACTTGAACACGTTCACCATTGATGCCCTAGCCTCCACCACCTCCGGCGATCTACAGCAAGGCTTATATCGGCGTCCGGTGGAGGCGGAAGGCAGCTACGATCACCTGAAATGGAGTGGAGGAGGAGATATCCTCTCACTTTCTGAGAGAAATGGTAGACCATTGGACTGCTTTTCATGACCATGATGACATGGCATGTCTCAGAAAGCAGAGACAGGTAAGCTACCTCCGACGCTAGTGTTAAAAACTCACCATTGTTCTCACGTTTGATCGTTGACCAACGGCTCAATTATGGATTGTCTCGCACATTTATGATTGCAGTAAGTTGGGCTCTGGTTGTCGCTTTGAAAACAAAAAAACTAATCCTTTTTTATACTTTAATCACTGAAGTGGAATCCTGTCACTTTATTCTATCGCCCCCGTGCAAGGCACTGTAAAAAAGTTGATATTTGGATGGCGGAAATCATTTCAACTTTATCTGTTTGTTTCTTCTGTAGCTGTTAGTATACTGTCCTTCATTTTGTTCTATCAAAAGTCAAATTTTTATTTTCCTTATGAATAAATTTGATATCTTACTGTTAATTATTAAAATAACAATACTATATGCTTCAGAATAATGGTCATCATTATGTATTTTTACGAAGGCTAGAACTTCAAATGTGTTATCAGATGAAAAATTAATGCTTGAAATTTTGGTTAAGGCTCTTAACCAAAATGTAATCATTAGTTGCTTTACTGGAGCTACTTGTAATATTTTTATGTTGGTCTGAAGCTTAAAAGGAGTGAATTCATATGTGTGATTTTCAATTGGAAAATGCAAGTTCCTTGGAATTTGAACCTGTAATTTGTATTGTTGTTATTATTATTATTATTATTATTGTTATTATTTGCATGCTTATTCTATAAGAATAACTGAATGAGATGGCCATGTTCATTCACCTATTCATCTAAAGATAACATGAATAATTATTATCGTTGCAAACTTAGATATTTAATAAATAGCTTGAACACAAGGTTAAAAGATGCGAATAGCAGGGTTATTTTATGAATTTTAGCGGTCATGATCCAAATCATTAGCTGATAAATCACTTTTTTAGTCTTATTTCATTGATTGCCCGGATCTTTGAATTTTGTAACATATAGCAGCCCTAGTTGTGTGGCGCGTCCAGTTTAGCATGGCAGATGCCACAATCACAACCAAAGGAAAATGAAGTAAAAATCTTACTTATTATTGAGCTAACCAAAGGAAATAAAGTAAAAATCTTAATTATTCTTGTGAACCGTCTTTGAATTGCTTTATCCTCTTCTGTTTCTAACAAAAATATCATAGCTGGAATTCTTACTGTCATTAGCACTATGTTGGGGTACATTTGTTTGTTCATTTTATATAGGACATGCCTTTTTCATGTGCATTATTAAAACATCTATAATATTAGTAAAAAACTGCTAATGATTTGATCGAAATAAAATATACACCAATCAATTATCTGATTTAATCTTAGACATTTAAACCCCCCTTGTTGAAATAAAAATACTACTATTTAAGCCCATTCATATCCCTAAGACTTTTAAACTGCCAAATTTAATCCTTATTATTTAAATCTCCTGTTGAAATAAAAAAATATTACCAAAAATTATTCCTTTCCTTTAACTAAGATATTATTTGAAACGGAGCAATCAGAGAAATCAGTTTCATCTGAAATTTTCATCATTGATTATGGGAGAAGGCGAGAGGATATGACATCTAAAAATCAAAGAATTAGATGATAAATTCAAAAGGAGAGCAAGAGACTCTTTTTGGGGTTAGCTTTTTTGGTCGTATTATTTTGTTATTTATCGGATGCTGTATCAGGATTCTATGCTCTATTTAGTTTGAAGAATTGATGGTGAGGAATTGAAATTGAAATGTAAATTGAAATAGTGAAGGAGTTGTATGACAAATGATTGGTGTTGTGTGCTAATTTTTTTTTTATATATAAAAGCTCATACCAACAGGAAATTCACTTAATTATATTTTTTACAAATTGATTCATTTGACTAGATATATCCTTCGGATGGAGCTTCATGAACATAATTAAGCTTCCCAAATAATGTAATTTACCGTTTTTTTTTATGGTTGAGCTGTGGTCTTGTTAGGCATCCAGCCTTCCCTCTTCGCCGTCTTATTTCATTTTAGTTCACATCAATACCCCTTTAAAATTTGCTAACAAGTTCTGATTGGCCCTTTAACTTTGGTATATTCTAAATAAAAATGCAAAATTGAAATAATAATCATTTGTTATACTAGCAACAGTGGGCAGATACCAAAAGGGCAACATTGCAATGGCTTCTGAATTCAGTACAACTGTTATTATATGAATGATCTTGAGTCTTGAATATTAAGATTTTTTTTTTACTGCATGTATGAAGATGACATGCATATTTTCCAAAAAAGCTATTATTGTTCTGATAGACAACTGTTGATGGAGGCGCTATACGCTTTTACCCACTTTGTAGGTTGGTTAAAGATCAAATAAGGGGAAAGAGATTGATCATTAGAATGATGCTTTCTGCTAATATTTAAAAGGGATTGATCATTAGAACTGTACTATTCATCAATATTGAGAAGTATGTTCATTAGGTATGCATCTATATTGAACTGTATTGTTTTTGCTTGAGCTAATTCCTGTGCCATTTGAGATTCCATTTATGTTGTTCTTATAAATCTGACTTTATTTCATACCCAGTTCTTGACTCTATCAGATACAAATTTTTTCTATCTTAATTAGGAAATGAAATCGCTGCCTTCACCCTTGATTTCCTTTTTTTAATGCTTTTTTGAATCTATTTTCTGTAAGAAAATTCATTGAAAATGTAGTATTAATGTCAAATTAAAATATAAACCCTTAAAAGTGAAAGATTACACGATAATCAGTTTGCTGGTAGTAATATAAACCCTTAATGTCAGGAGAGGGAGGATTGATCTCATTTTAGTTATTTTTTATATTACACGATAATCAGTTAAGTAGAGAACAAAATGATATTTTTGAATATTTAAGGCCCAAAATAAGAATTTATTTGATTTATAACTTTGATATGTTATGAGCATATTAATAGAAAGTCATCATCAATGATATAGATTCACAAGATGAGAGATGTGTTGGTGGTGGGCTGCATTGTCGGATTGTTTGGATTATTCAAGGCCCAACTCACTGATGAGTAAGATGAGGGATGTGTCCATGGCTGGTAGTATTGTCAATTTGTTATGCTATTTGCCTTGCATGGACATCAATCTATGGCTGTTTCAAATGATACTGATTAGAGTAACATATCATGAAGCATATTTTCTTTGTATTGAGTCAATAATGATGTGTGCTCAATAATAATTATAAAAGTATGATAGGTGCTTTGAGTTCTCTGTTCGGGCCTTTATAGAAGGTGAAATGATGCACATCATGACCTTAAGATAGTGGTTTATTTGGCAACATAAACGGTTTTAAGCAAGGTTGTGAAACTGGATTGACCATTGAACTAAAAGGATTAGAGTTTTAAGATTCAGTGGTTCAACTGGGGTTTGAACTAATGATATGATGAATATTAAAATTATTTAATATGATTTTAATGATGAAATAATGTAAACATGTGATGATAAATATGCAGAACTCATCCACAAGTAATATATTCAATAATTATAAATTTAAAAGTCAATAAAAAGCTTTCTATGATATAATTATGTGTAATATGTGTGTGTGTATAATACTATAAACATAAATATAGTTTATAATAAGAATATAATTTTTAATATTGAATGAGATTATAAAGTTTATAATTTAAAAACATAAAAATTAAAACTGTCATTACAATTTTTTGCACATCATGCAGGCCGTTTAGTGTTTTCAAATTTCAAATCTTACAACCCAATTCTGCATATCCGCAACCCAAGTGAATTTTTTGCATGCACACAATTTTTTTATTTTCACATGATAGGAAGAGTTAACATTTCACTATTTATATGAAAAAAAAAAGAATTTTAGAGTGTGAGTTTATAACTCACCTAATTGGAGGGCATGCTATAGGTTTATTTGATTAAACTCATATTAATTAGATTTAAGGTTTTTAAATCCATAGTTATTAGTTTAATTTAATATAATTTATAGATTTAATTTTTTAAAATAAATTTAATCACTAAATTGAGAATTTAATATAATTAAAAATGTTATTTGGGCCAAACTATTCTATCTAACCAGTACAAGTTCACCGTACACCCGTCAAAACAGACAATTTACACTAGTTTTCATCGATTTGATGTGAAAATTATTTTTGAGGCTAACCGAACTAACCATATCCTCGGTTCATCGTCTATTGGTTGAATTGACCGGACTGGTCTGATTTTGAAAACCTTGGTTTTGTTATTTTTAGGAATTTTTAACACATTTAGATATCTTCTTAGAAAAATATTTTTGAAATTTAGTTCTATTTAATAAATACATTTATTTTTTAAGTTAACTATCTATTATTAATAATAATTTGTCATACTGATAATAATATTTACTTAATTCAATTTTCGCTCATATCATTTTCATATTATTTTTTTGTCAAAGAGCCATAAAACTTAAACAACACTTTGGAGAGAAAAAAAAAATTCAAATTTAGCTAATAGCACAATAGCGCAATACCGAATAGAGCCAAAGCTTGCCATCATTAATAAAAAAAATGATTTATTTTTCAAAATCTCTAAATTCGAAGAAATATTTAAGGGAGATAGATCTTCGACATGTTAGCAGTTCCTTATTTGAATTGTGTGATACTGCTTTTGGTTAATTTGTCAATTATAAAACTGTTGTAGATCTATAATTAGACCCTTATTGAAATACTCTTTATGCTATTGAACATTTTGTGTATGTGTAATATGGTCCTTCTCTTTGTCATCCTAATTTTGAATTTGATGGTGCTTTTCTTGCAAACCTTAATAAATTTCTTTCATTTATGCTTTTCCTAACATAGACAATATCAGAACAATTCTTACCTTAGTGAGCACTTTTCAAAATAATCTATATTTGTTTGATGGATCAATGGTATCATCTTATACAATATATATATATATATATATATATATATTCTTACAAAATCAAATCCAATTTCGAGTCAAAGTTCTAGTTGAGTGAAGTTCTAAATGTTTCATTTCAAACTGTGATAAATTTGCTTGAATTTGACTCATTATGAGCCATACACATAAGAAATGCACAATGGTTCAAATTGCAACCAAGCTTTTCTACCAATTACATTAAATTTGCAAAACTAAGCAAATGTTTGTAATAAATTTAAAGCATCAAATGATATTTTCCCCAACAGTTGAAGAGGACATCCCCATTGATGATGCAAATGTAGCGGTTGTGTCGCCCGAGAGATACCTTTTCAAGCGATCGAAATCATCAGCAGCATCAAGCATCGTTGGCCTCATTAATGGATTTTCCTGTGTGCACAACAGACCAATTTCAACCACCTCAGATATCGCTACCTCCCACATTCTTCTCATTTCAGCTGCTTTGCTTCTTGCTGTTCTCATTAAACTTGAATCAATCACCGTTTCTAGTGATTGCTCATGGTAGTGATTCTTTACCCATTTCTGAAGGCTTATTTCTCCTCCAAACATTTCGTCCATCGGTCTCTTCCTTGTTAGTAGTTCGAGGACCAGTACTCCAAAGCTGTAGACATCTCCCTTTGTCGTTGCGTTTGATCCAAATCCATATTCTGCAATATTGATTTAAAATCATGTAAAGTTGTAGTTAATTTTGGTCAATATTGACATGGTAAGATGATAATGATAGCTAGAGTTCATTCTACTAAGATTGTTTGGTCTTTGTATCATTTAAATGTTAGCGTTATGTCTTAAATGCTGTTCATTTGATTAAAATCATTCAAAGGTGCAGTTTAAGTTTTGTTAATGATAACATCCTAAAGATGAGAATGAAATATAGTGTTCCTTCTACTAAAGATTGTTTGGTTCAGTATTATTTAAATGTCAGCATTATATGCAGTGTTGTGCATTTTGTTCAATATTAAGAAATAGTAACATTTGAGGAAAGTGCCAAGATAGCCCTCTGACTATTTACATAGGGCCATTTTAATCCCAGAGCTAATAAAAGTGCTAAATTAATCCTATACTCGTTTAATGGGGGCTAAAATAGTCCTCACCAAAAACTATTTCAACTCATATTAAAAGTTTCTGGTGACTAGGTTGACAATGGAGAAAAAGGATTCATGTAGCCAACCTCACTTAGTGGGATAAAGGCTTATTGCTGTTGCTGTATAAAGGTGACAATTTTGACACTTTTGTCCTCAACATTTTGGCATTGGTTTGGTTCATCAAAATCTTGTTATCAATAAAATAGGACTAGAACACTATTTTCATATTTCTTCCATAAAGATATCAACAATATCAACAAATCAAATAAACCAGAAGCCATAGAACAATCTTGCAAAAGTAGGAGTTTTCAATTGAAGTAGGGTGAATATACCTGGAGCTATGTACCCAATAGACCCATATAGTATATTGGCAGTGGAGCTGCTTGCATTATCCGGCCCAGCTGTAGTAACTCCTGCGCCCATATTCATCACCAGCCTCGAAATTCCAAAATCAGAAACCAATGCAGCCATATCTTCATTGAGCAGAACATTGCTTGGCTTTAAATCACAGTGAATGACCTTCACTGGTGAGTGGTGGTGCAAGTAAGCCATCCCCTCGGCTACGTCGCTTAGAATGCTGATTCTCTGCTCCAAATCCATATGATGATTATTTGAGTGCAACTTAGCATCAAGGCTGCCATTTGACATAAATGGAAGAACAATCGCCTTGAATTCTGGCCGGCTGCAAGCTGTGATTATTCTCATTAGATTTCGATGCCTGATTCTCTTTAAGACTTCACATTCTCTTTTGAAGCTCTTGGTAGAGTTTCCACTTTGCAAACGAAGTACTTTGACTGCCACCACTGTTTCATCCTTTAAAATTCCTCTGTAAACACTCCCATAGCTTCCAGTACCGATGAGCGTTTCTTCTGTAAATCCTCTGGTTGCTTCTGAAAGCTCACTGTAAGTGATTCTTGGGTAGCTCAACCTCAAAGCCGGCGGTGTAACGCCTCCAAAATCCTTTTCTCTTCTGTTTAAAATCTTCTTTCTAATCCTTTTTATTATAATCACAAACAATATGGTTATTGTGGAAGCCATCACTGTGGAAAAAACACAAACTATGATTAAGAATGTTTTTGAATGGATCCATTTGCCTTTTTTTCTGCCTAAATTGCGGTACAAATGTGGGTTTCCAAGAAAGGAGGAATCAGTAAACAAGTTAAATATTCCAGTACTTGGTATCAATCCACTGAAATCGTTGTAAGATAAGTTCAATAGTTTGAGACTGGTACAGTTATTAAGGCTCTGTGGGATCTCACCAGATAAAAAATTGCAGGACAAATCAAGGAGTTCAAGGTCATGAAGATCGCCAATTGATTTGGGGATTGACCCTTGGAGTAAATTATTTGAGAGATCGATCAACTTTACTGCAACACAATGAGAGAGCTGTGGAATCAAGGGGCCGCTGATTTTGTTCGACGAAATGTCGATTTCTTCTACTTGGTCCATCTTCCCAAGCTCCAAAGGCAGAGGACCATGAAGCTGATTGTTTGAAAGATTCAGAAATATCTTCAATATTCCAGCTATTGTTGTAGGTATAATTCCTGACAGATTATTGTAGGATAAGTCCAGTCTGTTAAGGCTGAGGCATTTACCGAGGGAAGAAGGGATTTGTCCCAAAAGCTGATTTTTGTGAAGATATAGCTCACTGATTTCTGCCAAATTTCCAATACTTTCAGGTATCTCACCAGTGAATCTATTGTTTGATAAATCAAGCAAGCCAACCGAGCTCATATTACCTATCATTTTAGGGATTGCTCCACCCAGAATGTTATTTGACAATATAAACCTCTGTAAATGTCTCAAATGGCTGATCTCTTCTGGAATCACTCCACCTATTAGATTGTTTGACAGATTCAGCAATGTCAGATTTCGAAGTTTGGCAATGTTGGGAGGTATTATGCCATAAATTTTGTTGCTGTCAAGATTCAGAACTAATAAGCTTGAGATGTTTAATCCAACTCCGCGAGGAAGATGGCCGCAGAGATCAATCCCTGCCATTTCCAGCTCTTTCAGGATGGAGCAATTAGAAAGAGCATTGAAAAATGGATCTAAGTCTGTGTTGTTGTTGTGGCTTGAAAAATGTGTGTAGGACAGGTGAAGAACTTCAATATGATTCCACTTTCCTATCATCTCTGAAGGCAATTCACCAGAAAATTCATTGTTCTCAACATCAAGTTGACTTATTTCAGACGAATTTGAAAGCCATGAAGGTATCTTCCCTCTCAGATTGTTCAGATAAAGATTGAGTGCGAACAGCCAAGGAAGTGTGATTCCTACATTCATTGGAATCTCACCAGAAAGTGAGTTGTTTGAGAGATCCAAAACAATTAATTTAGTCCAGTTGATGAAGATAGAAGCAGGTATTGAACCAATAAGTAAATTTCCATGAATGTTGAAATAATCGAGGCCGTTAAGGTGCGAGAGAGATTCCGGTATCATGCCATCAAGCTGATTGTTTGAGAGATCAAGGATTTTGAGCCTCCTCAGTTTGGAGAGTTCAGGCGGAATGTGACCGGTGAGAAAATTTTCCGATAGGTCGAGCTGACGGAGCGCGGTGAGGTTGGCAAGCACGGGTGCGATGGTGCCTACAATGAGAGTTCGATTGAGATTTATGCGGACGACGTGAATCCGCCACTGGTCGCATTCGACTCCGTTGAAGTCACATGCTTTGGTAAACATGTTCCAGTTTGAAAGAACCGAATTAGGATCAGAACTTACGGAGCTTTTGAATTCCAACAGCGCCGTTTTTTCTATGCTAATTACTCGGCTGCGATCGGTGAGAGGAGGTTGATGATTTTCTGAGGCCATGCAGATATGGAAGAAGAGGAGGCTTAGAAGAGTAAGAGTAGTGCTCTCAAACTCGTTGGAAGTTTTCATTTTTAAAAATGTGTTGTGTAAAGATAGTGGACTAGGCCTAGCTGTTTTCTTTTGCTCGTGTTGTTTCTGATATGCATAAACTTTTGATAAGGCAAATTAGTGCTTAGGGGCACTTAAAATATATTTACATACATAGCACACAATTCTTATCTATTTACATATCTCACACTCAAACTTTCATATTTACACTCACATTTTTAATATCACATAAAAAATAACACTTTTACAATCTTTTGAAACTAAAGTACACATTTTAAAGCACCAAAGTGCCGTGCATGTAAATATGAAAGTTTAGGCGTGAGTATGTAAATACATAAGAATTGTATGCTATTTATTAATATTTTCCACAAAAAAAAAAAAATTATAAATCATATGAATAGCCTTGATTATGAAATTGCTAAATTTGAATTTAAGGTGAGTGATTTAATAATGAAGGGATGAAAATTGGCGGAGATGGATATTTAGCAATCATAATTTTCAAACTGGTTATGATTATGTTATATGAAGTAGTAAGTGGAGGCTCCATAGGCTTTTCCCCCACTTAGTAGTGTGTGCCTGTAGAAAGCGATTGATCTCTAGAATGATTATTTACTTGAGATTGAGAATGTGAGGTCATTAGAAATGTCACATTTAGTTCAGCTCATTATTGCTCTCTTTTGAATTCTATATAAATTTCTGTTTAACCTTGCCAGATTTTTTATTTTTTTGCACATTACATAGCACACAATTCTTGTGTATTTACATATCTCGCATCCTAACTTTCATATTTAAAAGTCAAATGCACATGTTTATGCATACATTGAAAGCACCAAAATGCTATGTATGATATCATTCTAGAACCGAACAGAAAGCAATGGCCTGTGATGGATCTCCTAGTGGTTTCATCTGCGGTCGAATCAGCGTCGGGGTAAGCTGTCAAGTTAAGATCTACCTTCTTTATGGCAATGTCGTGTTTGATTGTTAACTGAAGGTATCAGACGGCTCGTTTTATCATATGATGGTGCTGATTTATGGGAGACTGCATATGCTGACAAATTTGGTCGACGGTGAAGGAAGTAACGGAAGTTTGCTTGCCTTAATTGGGGATCTAACGGAAGTTTGCTGAGTGTAGGTCTGGAGGCTGGTTTGCAGTGTTGCATTCCATTTTTGTGAAGCAAGTCTTGAATATAATTTTGTTAGTGGAGGAAGTACCCCTGATGTATAGATTGAAAGTTGATGCCCATGTATGTAGAAATATGCACTAATTCTTTTAGGTTGAATTTGTTTTGGAGATTTTGGATGAGTTGTTGAATGAATGCTGTGTCATGTCCAGTAATTAATATGTCATGAATGTATATGAGTAGAATCATAGTGTGGTTGGTTCTTTTGTGGATTAGTATTGAGGGTGCTGTTGAGCTGAGGTGAAATTCTTGATCTTTGAGATGTCCAGAGAATGTTGCTTGATTAGGATGTCCTAAACATTGGTCTCATAGGTTGATAGGAGTAGTGGTGGAGTGAAGGGCTTGTATGTTTGGAATGGAGTATAATCCCTTGTTGTTGTGCCTTCAAAGCCATTTGCAGTGAATAACTTCATGATTTGAGAACTCCAAGAAGGATAATTATCAGGTATGAGAGCTGTATTTGCAAGTGGTTTGATATTGGTGATCAGAAATTTGATTAATAGTGGGATAGGAATGGTTCTGGCGTGCTACACAAAGGAAGGTACACCTTATTATGAATGAGAAGGACATTTGGTAAGCATTGAGATGAGAGAGGAAAGAGTTGTTGCTGCAAATACACAAAGTATAGTGGTGAAGATTTTGTTAGGTTGTTATGACAAGGATGGCGGGGGACCATTTGCCATGTGGAGAGGTTGCCGACTTCCGTTGCATGCGAGTGGAGATTATGTTGTACTGAACAAAATATCCGAATTAATACTTAGGCCAAAAATTTCATTTTATTTAACCCACTTGTACTACATATTGGGAAAATATTTCTACGTGGAATACACATGCAGCTCTGTGTGCGTACTCTATTAACCCGTAATACCCCATATAATAACCTATGAATAAGATCGAAATAGAATCTGTGAAGGTTATTGGGGTTGGTTATAGGTTATTGGAATTAATACCCTAATAACCTCCCAATAACCCCCCAATAACCCCAAAATGGAGGTTATTGAGGGGTTATTATGCACGTAAAGCTGCGTGTGTGTTTATTTCCCTCTAACCAGCTTCCATGCATTAGTTTCCAATCGAATTTATGGAAAAATGGAGGGGAAATGGGGTTTAAGTTCCTATATAATTTAAATTTTTTATTCTTTCCATAGTTTGCCCCTCATTAGTATATTAAAAAAATATTTTTAATCAAGGAGGGGCACAAAATTTTTTTACATATAAATATGATTTGTTCCTCATTAATTAAATATTAAAATAATTTATTATATATGGCAATAGAGTAATAAAATGAAATTCTGTTTAAAATTATTATTTCTATATACTATCCAAGTTAACTGTTGGTTCTAAGTTTCATTATAAAACTCATTCAGATAATTAATTTGGGCCAATTTTAATAGTTTAGGACTAGATTTGAGCAATATAAAACTCTCAAATTAAACTCTGCTTGTTGATGGTACATAACTTAATTTGAGCTTTTGCTTGGTATTCTTGATTTTTGTTTTCGGCCAATGTGTTATACATTTAAGTAATTATTAAATAGTGCTTTAATAATAAAAATAATAATTTAATCAATTGCTTTACCTTATAAAATAATAACATTTTGATTAGTGTTATTTCAAGTTATTTGACTGTCAGAATGGTGATTATCTTCAAAATGAAGACGTTAATTAATCAAATTTGATTTTGAAAGTTTTCATACGGCTAAAATGTCATATTTGTAATGAAATTATGATGTTACACCCATATGCTATATATATATATATATAACATTCAAATCTTTGACGTCACATCAAAACTAGTACTATTAGTAAAATGCACATGTTCATGCAAAAGTTATTAATACGAAGTTGTTACAAATCTAAGAAAGTTTAGATACATACCACTCAATTTCTATGTATTCACATATCTGACAACTAAGCTTCAATTTATACATGCATATGGCTTTATCTATGCATGAAAAGGTGTTATGTCACTTTTAAAAAGTTAAAATGATGATAGTTTAGGTGTTAGGTACGTTAATGCATGGGAATTGAGTGGTATATGTTAATGCGTAGGAATTGTGTGGTATGTATGTAAATGCCTCTAAATGTAAATATCAAACTTTATCGGCGTATTTTACATGTATAAACCTTCGGTTTGATCATCCTCTGACTCGGTCAACTAGGCTTAATCAATCATGGTTTGACAAGATTTGTTCGTTCGATCGTGTTGAATTGGGGTTGCTGATCGGCCCTTAATGGTTTTTGGGTTGATGAGAGCCGACTTGGTCGGCTATCCTAGTGTGGTTGTTGTTTGTTGACCCCTGAATAAGAATCCCTTGTCGATAAAGCAAGAATAGTTATTGGGCAGATGATGAATCACTGCAATTCGACAAGTAGCTCACTCTCGACTAGGTGATCCTTTGCGGGTGTTTTGTATGGTTATGTGATGATTAGATTTCAGCCCCGGAGGGTCTCAGGGGCATTTGTGATCAGTTGGTTATGTTGAACTCTTCCTTTGAGCCTGATTATGACCAGGAACACATTGATGCTTTAGCTCGACTCAATAGGCTTTATTCTTTTGCTCGGATGCCTTTCAGTCGGTTGGCCTTCAATCCCTACTTAAGGGGGGTTGCATCTAGTCTAATGGGTCATTCCGTATTCTGTTGGTGAACGTTTAGTCTTATAGTTATGAACCCTTAGTGCCCGTTTGGGGCAGCTTATTGGGAGCGGTGGCAATTTGAAAACGTCGCAATGTCGTTTGGATAGAGCGTTCGCATGAGCGTTCTCTTACTGCTGATACACGGTATTAAAGGAAATAGGCGAACTCATATAAGCTGAGCTCCCTTCGTGTCCTGTGTTCAGTTCGTACGTTAGGGTGAAAAAGACGTCTTGTGCCCCTCTCCGGTCCCCCTCGCCCTCGCCTTCTTCCTCGCGGCCGTTGAGAAATTAGGCAAAAACTCCACTCTCTGCTATCCCTCGTCGTCGCCCTCCTAACGAAACCCTAGTTTCCCTCCAGGTATGCACCATCGTTTTCGATCCTTCTCTGATTTTACTAGATCTATCCTTCTCTGATTTTGCTAGATCTTGTTCGACCCCTAACTTGTGCCTCGTTGCATCTTTGTTTGGATGCACCATTGCTGGTTTCGGTGGTTATAGCAGTTTTTATGAAATTTTGGATGGGTGCTGTTGACCTCACTTTCGGTTGAGGTCTAGAAAACTTCTTTAGTAGCCTAGGTCTAGCCATAGGACTTTCCTATTGACTAGTCTTAGAAAACTAGAAGAGGTACCCCACTATTAGAAATTCAAAACTCTTTTTTTTTTTCAACTTGAAATTCCACATATTGATCTCAACCTCTAGCATTTAGTAGGTAAGATCATTATAAGAGAATTTAAGAAGAATCACTATAGGATTACTTGACTTTAGAGTCGACCCTGGAACTAGGATACACCATATCTTCACAATATATTAATCCATGGTTCATTTAGAATGGATATCTATCCAATTCTATGTAAAATGCCTAACTTGGTCTTTTGCCCCTAGGCACCTCCAAATTACCTAACTGCCCTTGGGACCCAAATTTGGCTAATATTCCCAAATTTTGCCAAAATACCCAAAATTGAT